GTAGTCCATCTTTGTGTGGAATATTGGTGTAGAGGGCTTCTACGTCCATAGTGGCCAGGATGGTGTTTTCTGGAAGATCACCGATGGATTTGACTGTTTAACATCTACCTTAATGTCCAAAATGTGAAACAGCTTATTTGTTTTCTTATAAATAGGTATGTGTGTATGTAAGCAATGACACTATGGGAGGTGTATTTATCAGTCAGTTACTCTGTCTACACTAATCTCTTTTTTCTAAAATTTCCAGCTCTTGCTGCACTGGTGGTAGCAATGGTTGGAGCACTAGTGTAGGTGGGGCTTACATGCTTGCTGATGTTTTTACAACCAAAGATTCCAGACGTGCTCGGGATAGGGTTAGAAGTAATCGTGATTAAAAACTTTGCTTCGCAGTCTATACTAGCGCTGCTGCTATTGTTACAGTTAGTGGAGCTGCACCAGTGATGGTGCAATTGTGAGCATTTTCTCAAAAAAGTACAGTAGACAAGGCCTAAGGGCTAGATTAGGCAAGCCTTCAGAACTTGGAACTCCCACTGACTTCATTTAAAAGCCAATGGAAGTTCCATGGACTGAGAGCTTGAGAATTGGGGCTTAAGAAGATAAAAATATTTTTAATAGGGCTGTCGAGCGATTAAAAAAATTAATCTCCATTAATCGCGCTGTTAAACAATAATAGAATACCATTTATTTAAATATTTTTGATGTTTTCTACATTTTCAAATATATTTATTTCAATTATAACACCGAATACAAAGTGTACAGTGCTCACTTTATATTTATTTTTTATTACAAATATTTGCACTGTAAAAAACAAAAGAAATAGTATTTTTCAATTCACCTAATACAAGTACTGTAGTGCAATCTCTTTATCGTGAAAGTGGAACTTACAAATGTAGAATTATGTACAAAAAAACCTTACATTCAAAAATAAAACAATGTAAAACTTTAGAGCCTTCAAGTCCAATCAGTCCCACTTCTTGTTCAGCCAATCGTTCAGACCAACAAATTGGTTTACATTTGCAGAAGATAATGCTACCTGCTTCTTGTTTACAATGTCACCTGAAAGTGAGAACAGGTGTTTGCATGGCACTATTGTAGCTGGCGTCGCAAGATATTTACATGCCAGATGTGCTAAAGATTCATATGTCCCTTCATCTTCAACCACCATTCCAGAGGACATGTGACCATGCTGATGATGGATTCTGCTCGATAACGATCCAAAGCAGTGTGGACCAATGCATATGCATTTTCATCATCTGAGTCAGATGACACCAACAGAAGGTTGATTATCTTTTTTGATGGTATGGGTTCTGTAGTTTCTGCATCAGAGTTTTGCTCTTTAAAGACTTCTGAAAGTATGCTCCACACCTCGTCCCTCTCAGATTTTGGAAGGAACTTCAGATTCTTGAAGCTTGGGTCGAGTGCTGTAGCTATCTTTAGAAATTTCACATTGGTATCTTCTTTGCATTTTGTCAAATTTGCAGTGAAAGTGTTCTTAAAACGAACAATATGTGCTGGGTTATCATCTGAGACTGTTATAACATGAAATATAAGGCAGAATGTGGGTAAAATAGAGCAGGAGACATACAATTCTCCCCCAAGGAGTTCAGTTACAAATGTAATTAACACATTATTTTTTTAACAAGTGTCATCAGCATGGAAGCCTGTCCTGGACAGGGCTGGCTCCAGCATTTTTGCCGCCCCAAGCGGCACCAAAAAAAAAAAAAAAGAACCGACGATCAGCGGCACTTC